ATGGGTTTCGGGGGGGGTTTGGTCATGGAGCAACCGCTGAAGCCGGCTGTGATACTCGAGCGTTTAAGGTGGCGTGTTACTAATGGCCATGTGGGGCACTCTTTTCTGTCATTATCAAGGCCGTGGCGAAAAAAAAAAGAGCTGAGCCATCCCATCTGGGTCTTTGACACCGAGCGGTGAAAGAGCCGCGCATCGCCACGGCCGACCAGATGCTGCCCTCCCCGTGGGGGGAAGCGAGTGCTGCAACAACAACACCAAAAAAAAAACCCCGCAGTTGCTTTCTCGGTCATAGTCCGATAAAAAAAAATGGGGTTGCGATCGTGCGTTGATCAACACCGCATTTGGAAAAGCGGAGTTGTAAAATGAATACTTGTGAATGGGGGTGATAGTGAGAATCGGTTGTCATGGCACAGTGGTTAACGCATGGATTTTAATTCCCGCCGCCTGAGTTAGATTCCCGGTCAAGGCTAATCATATCAGCGGTCAATGATTTACGCATTTGGTTCCGGGGCCACCTTTTCACCAATCCGTGCTGTTCAGATTTCGCGCCGTTGCAATGACGTTAGCCGCGGCCGTGCATCGAACTCAGGTAGCCTGGATTTCATGGCTCAGTGCGCTGACCGCTGTGCGACCACTCCACCGCTTTGTATTCCACCTTCGGTTTTAATCTGCATTGCCCTCCGTCTTGCATTCCCGCGTTCACTTAAGCGGCTTTCGCACGTTTGATTTTGTTGCGACCACCCCCCCCACCCCGCCGCTGTCAAGGTGAAACTGACATTAGCGCCACTTTGCACTACCGGACACGTTCATCGTATCTTCACCGTGCGAACCCCCGGAATGGACCCGATACCACCGGATCTCTGAAGCTAACCAGGTTTTGACCGTCGGATGGGTGACCACCGTGCAAAACAAGGGCTTTAGGTCTGAAAGCCCTCTCCTGACTAGCAGACATTGACATGTGGCGTTTAGATCCAGTATGTATGTTAATTTAACCTCTTTCGCACCGTACGGAGTCAACCGTGCTAATCTGAGGTGTGGGGGAAGGACAACAAACTAGACACCAAAAGCAGTTCTAAAGAAATTTGTTATCAATTAAATTTACAAATGCACAGCGCTCCAGTGTATCCTAATATCGGAAGGAAGAGCGTCCCAGACGGCCACAGAAGCGCATCTGCAAGCACGCGATGCAGTGACCGTCTTTGTTCGATGGTTAGGCATCCACAAGAAAATAATATAACAGTGGGGCAACATCAGTTGTGGTTCTGTACCATGTTACAACAACCGTGTTTCTCACACCTTCGATTAGCTCGGTTGGGCTACGTATGGTGCGAAATAAGTTCAACATACGTACATACAACCCGCAGCGACCACCAGCGCGGTGAAGCACGGTCAAGTGTCTCCCTCTCTCCCCCACAACGACGTGCATGGCGTGGAGAGATCCTCGTCCAGCAGTAGATGGACATTAAAGGTGGGCTGCGCATATTCAAGAACAAAGAGCTGCCGGGAGGAGGTCTCGTGGAGAAGTGGCTGCATCGATGTGAAGAATACCTATTTGGCAGTCGCCTTCGCAGAAAGTGTAAAAGTGGGGAGTTTTTACAGTCACTCTGGAGGGCTTTCATTACAGAGATCAATGAGCGCTACACGGCCTGGAGAATACCATTGTTTTTGGTGTGAATGCCGCCATTGGGTACCCCCCCCCCCCCCCCGCTGGTAATTGATCTCGACAATGAGCGTCAGATATGAGGTTGTCGAGCCATAAAATTGAAGGGGTTTTGGTGTCAAAAACGATCTCGGAGATCCACAAATGATTGGATTTTTTTCTGTCCCCCCCCCCCGCGGTGCTGCCGACTGTATTGGAGCCCCTGGTTGTGCCACTTGTACCTGCTGGTTGTGCCACTTGTACCTGCTGGTTGTGCCACTTGTACCTGCTGGTTGTTCTTACCGGCGCCTTAAACGCGCAGGAGAATGTCGACATTCGAGCAGAAATGCCATGCTGTTGACACGTGCTCGTTATCATCATAAATCATCGGCCATGGTCAATCCACTGCTGGATGAAGGCCTCCTCCCCCCCGCCCCCCCCAAGCTGCTGTCATCTTTCACGATCTTGCGATGTTAGTAATACGCCGCTGATTTCATTATTCCATCTCCTCGCTCCTTGGCTGCCACTCCATCATTATTCTCGACCATCGGCAACCGTTCCTTCAGACGGCGTCTCGCGCTCGAGACCCATTCGAATCTCATCACAACGCCGTTGTTCTAAGAAGAAATGTTTCAATATTCGCTCAATATTTTATACATTTTCAAGCACCGAAGTTCCATCGTCGGGGTAACTTCTAAGGCGTGTCACTCTATACGCGATGCACTTAAGTCTGGCCCTTTGAATTAAGCAGTTTAAATTGACACGGACTTTATTAAGAATTCAACACTGGGCTCAGGATCCTACAAGGTTCCCGTCCTAGATGGCGGTGATCGAAAAGGGGCCCCGTGGGAATGTGGCGCAGACGACAAAGTGAAACTCCAAGAAGACACAGCTCCCAGACTGGTTCTCCGCACACATTCCTGATCACAGACAAAAGTTACCCGACGACCAGAATAACAGCCGACAGATAAACAAACCACCGCAGCAACAACAAAATCAACAAACAAACAAAAGCAGGCTCTTTGGTGTGCGTGTGTGTGTGTGTGTTTGCGCGCGCGCGTGCGCCAGGCCGGGCACGCCGGCGGATTTGACGAACATAAATAGAGGCGCACCTTTCCGCTCGTAATTACGTATCGACCAGGCGCGTGAGATTTGTGAGTGGAGCGACGGTCATGGGGGCGTGGAGGAGGAGGGATGGGCCGCATCTGGGGCACCGCGGTGGGTATTGGGCACGCGACCGCAGCGTGAGCCAACGAGCAATTCCCCAACGGGAGCAGGGGAAATCGATGCGGAGCGGACAGCGGACTTCAGCATTCCGATTTTGTCTTAAAGATATACACACAAAAAAAATTGGCGAGTGCATTTCGGCAGGATGGGATGGGATTGTGAGTGGGGGTAGAGGAGGAGGGTGGAGTTGGGAGAGGGAGCGGGGGGTAGAAATGGATGCATGGAAGGAAGATGGGGAGGGGAGTGAGAGGTGGAGAGGGAGTGAGGATTGGAGCTAGTTAAATGTGCCAGCCAGATGGTGTCCCTTGTAAAGTAAAATATATAAATGAAGAGGCGTCATTACCGAAGGGAACGAGATAAGCCTGCTTGTGCCGTTCCCTGTTAATGGAAGAATCGGAAGCACCCTCCCCCCTCCATCGGGAGGCGTCCGATGAAAAGAGACCGACCTCAATCAATGGCGTTGTGCTCCCTCGCCGCCACGTTCACGGGCCAACCAAACTGAGCGTAAATAATATCCCTCTTCTCCTTTCTTCAATTGCGATATCTTGCAATGTAATTTATATAAAATGAACAGAAAAGCGTCAGCTTCCTATGTCATTAATTAAGTTACAAATGACCCAAGCAAGCGTGTTTTTTTGTTCATTTTCTTTCTTACAGGCAGTGCAGGGATGATGTCGATCGCTTTTTTTTTCTTTCGGTGACTTGGTCATCCCTCACTTAGTGAGTTAATTAACGTTGTCATCAATATGCCCGTGGGCTGCTGTCGTCGGGGCCACGTGCGAGCGTGGACGAGCGCAGCGTGCCACTGTTAATTGTCAAAATCACGGCGGCTTCCGCTGAGAGAAACGGCCTCTGGCCGTTCGGCGCTTTTGTGTCCTCGTGTAATCAGAGTCTTCAAACGGCGGCTATAACATTTTTCAGTAGCGTATGGGGGCCCCTTTTCAAGTAACCTAATGACGCTATTAATCCTTTTTTTATAAAGCGGCGCTGACAGTTTCACTTTATTAGCGGCTCCCTGACGCGCTGCGCTGAAAAAAACACAAGTTCCAGCGGCGGCTGCCACGGTGGGAGTGGCGGAGGGCGTGGTGGTGGTGGTGGTGGCGGTGGCTGGGCTGGGGTGAATGGATGGAGTCGAACAGAGGTGGTTGATGGTGCGTGGCTGGGGAAGGGCAACCGCACGGTGCGCAGTGGCTGGTTGAGTCTCGGGGCGGAGGAGGGAGGGAGGGAGGGCAGTGAGACGAGGGCGTTGGCGCAGGCGGTGGTGGTGGCGGGGTAGCTGGAATAATTTGCCTCTCGAGGCCCTCCCCAACGAGCGGGGGGGGGGGGGGCTCGTTATTAATGGGTGAGGACCGCTCATGGGAAGAAGAAGAAGAAGAAAAACCACCACCCTCCCCAAATGAGGGCTCGTGCGCATTGTTCTTGCGGGACAGGGTTGGTCGCCCGCACACACACGTGGGGATTTTATATCCTTGCTACTTTATATACCTCGCAAGCTGCACGGTTGGGCGCAGATCTAGGGCGCCGTCTCCCTCAGCCCGGTTTTCTGGTTCACGACCAAAAGCTGTTCCACACTTTTTATGGTCACTCAGCGTATTGTGTGCGCTTCTCGGGCTGTGAAAGTAATCCGAAATTGTAAGTCCTGGATCTGTCCAATTTCAGGTCTGGTCTAGCCACGAACTTCGAAAATACAGGATGCCTGGTGGACGTACAGCATTTGTAGCGATGCAACTTTTGAGTGTGCAGACGGTGCAACTGCACCAGGGCTCATGGGCCAGATGAGGCCCGACAATTCGGCTACAAAAGAGGGGGATGGAAGGCAGACAGGGGGCGCCATCCATTCTTTGTAACAGGGACCCATGCCAACCGTGCCACTGACCAGCGTGAATATTGTACCTTCACAAAAAAAACATTAACAACGGCTCTTGAACAAGCTGTATGCAGTGCGATTGAGTGACCTTGTGTACAATTTTGAAATATATTAAATGTAAATACCGTCGTATAAAACCGGGTACAATATCATATCTGATATGGGCAGGAGAATGCCCACTGAGCAGCTGTGACCGGGATGTGAATCAGCTGCAATGTGCTCCATGCAGCTACAGGCACTCCTGAGTATTCATGCTGCACGGTAGAGTTTTCGACGTGTTTATTGGCTTAATTGGACGAATGGCTTCCGTGGTACATTTGCTGCCAACACGTTCTCCGTGTGACCCGTGAAACAAAAGGAAGAAATGAGATGAACACAAACAACGTCCATATTTCTTCAGCAGTCTACATCTGCTGCAATGGACGGATGATGAGTGGTATGCAGGCCCCAGCGACTCTGCCTCTGCTCCTTGTCCGAACACGCACTGCTGCTTACTACATTTCTATTGCTTCGGAACTGGCAGATGGCAATGAGGCGGTGGTCGCCGAGATATCGCAACTCATTATGTGTTTGCCTGATCTCCAGCTCGGATCACGCCATCTGAAAGAATCAAACGCGCATTTGTTAAGGTAGACTTTTTTTTTAATATTCTTTGGGTCTTTCGGTAAAGTCACGTCGATAGAAATAAAAAGATCACGACGATTCGATCGCAACGCAAGCAATCGTCGTGATATTTTTATTATTTTTCTATCAACGTGACTTTACCGAAAGATCCAAAGAATATGAATTCCTGCAATCACTAAAGCTTTAAGTAGACTTTTGTCCCCTTGCCGACACATGGTAAAGTGCTCATCGGTGTACATCTTTACTTTACGAGTTTAATAACTCAAATTATTAACACACATTTCAGTGAATGGGTAGAAGTAAAACTAAAACTAAACTTTTTATTTTACCAGGTAATGCCCACTGACCTATATAGCTCTTTTTTCATAAATGACCTGGCCACAAATGATAGCCCAACGAAGTTGCTTATGTGGAAATATATAGCAACCAAATACTCTAAGCGCATGTTTATAAACGTGCAGGGGAAAACCGGAGGACTCGGAGAAAAATCCCCACGACCACAGTTAGAGAGACACGCACCCTCCAAATACACAACACTCGTCAGGATCGAGGATCGAACCCACGCCCTCGTGCATACCAGGCGAGGTAGTTAACATCTCGCCACCGCTACAAGGATGACGACGACGACGACGATGCCGATGATGACGCAGACGCAAGCCAGAACATCGCGCAGTCGAACTCACGGTCCAGAACCCTGATCGCAGTTGACGGGAGTCTGCCTTGGCGAGCGGCACGTCGCTTCGAGCGGAGGCGGGGCAGTTCGCGCGGGAGGGACGCCGCCGCCGCCGCCGCCGAGGCTCGTGGTGCCAAGCCCGCCAGACGTTGTGGGTGGAGTGAAGTTCAAACGAGCGGCCCAGCCGGAGGCCCCCAGCTGTTGTCGCTCGCGTCTGGAAAACAAACCAGCGCCGCCCCCCCCCCCCTGTCTTGTTCACTCCGTGTCGAGCAGCCCCGGCCCAACAATGAAAAAGCAACGGCCGCGGCAGCGCCGAGCGCTGATCCGTGAATCAAAATTGCGGTGCGGTTGACGTTCCCCCACCCTTCTTTCGACTTAATTCAGCCTCCCAAGCTCAGCAATCATTTCGTCCCCCATCCCAATCCCCCACCGCCCTCCCCACCCTCCACGATGCACAAGCTGTTCCCTCTCCATTGCATCCGTTTTACCCTTATAGGCTGCCCACACCCAACCCACACGCTGCCAAAGGGCCCTCATCCCTAATCCGTTCAGTCTAACCCATCTCCTGTTGGGAGGTTTACCGTGATTATAGCTTCATTGTTGTACAATGATTCACGTTATAATGCGCACATGCTAAGCATGCCTTATATATTTCAATCTGAGCTGCCAAAACGTTTTGATGATGGGTCGTAAGAAGTAAATGTGGAGCCACAAAAGTACAGGTTTTATTCTTGTTGCGGCCACTAACAGCATAAACATAACTTTACTTTTTTCTATGATTTCTCTCATGAGAAATGGTGGCAGCTTGAGGAGGCCTTCATCTGGCATTAGATTGACCATGGCTGCTGAAGATGATGGTTAGAGAATATGTAAATAATGACCATTGAGCCCAGGGTCTTTGCTAATCGCGCACAAATAATTTCAACTTGTAATGCACCACCACTGCCGCACAGTTGATGATGATGACAAAAATATTGGGCTTCAAACTTAACTCAACGTGAGGTTCATGCAGCGATTGTGACATGAAGGCGAGTTGGAATATTGTGAATGTCGCTCCCGTATCTACATAGTTTAGTTTTTCAGTCAACCGTGCTGTCAATTATACATTTATACAACACCGAGTCTGTACACATTAATTTGCTTTTAAACGCGTTAAACGTACGGTGCTTGATTAATGTCTCTTGTTTTGTGGTTGGGAAGGAATCGTGAACGCAGCAAAACAAAGCGCCGGTTTATTTTCTGGCCCCGGGGATCAGCTGCTCCGTGGCCACGACAAAGGCTTCTGTGTGAGTGTTTTGACTGAAACGCTTGCTCCAGCGCGCCGCCGCTTTTATCGCGTAATGCGATTAGAGGTGACGGCTCATTAATCGTTAACTCTGATGGAAAGCAAAACACTCATCTGGGCACAGGGCATTCTGGGTAATGAGCGCAGACTTGTCGAATTTTCACGCTTTCATCTTGGTCCGGAGCGGAAACGTACACAACAGGTACCTATGGACGCCTCCTTTCGACACCTGAAACTTGTTTCCGTGTGGATTTTAATGTAGACGTAACTGCATCGACTGTGTTTTTTTTCCGGTTGTATCGCGCCTTGTTCCCGCGTAATGCCCTAAAGTCTTGCAACACGTGTAGGTGGCTTCTTCGCGAACTGAAGGTTCCAAAGTTGCAAGCACGTGGAGCTAATTGTCGGACATCATGCCATACAAGCCGAAAACACATAGGGAGACCTATACAGCCCAACCCCGAAAAAAACGACGCAATGGAATCACTGTATTAAGTTCGTTAACGTCGGCATGGTGATAAATAATCCCATTATTGAGATCCTGTTGTGGGGAGGGGGAGGCCGTGATCCGGCATCATCTCTGGGAGCATCACAGTGGTGAGATGTTAGCTCCCTCGCCTGGTATATAGGAGGTCGTGGGTTCGATCCCGATCCCGACCCCGACGCCTGCTGCTGCTGTATATTTGGAGTGTGCGTGTCTCTCTCTCTGTCATCATCACGGTGGCTAGGAGATGTTAACTAGCTCGCCTGGTATACAGGAGGTCGTGGGTTCGATCCCGATCCCGACCCTGACGCCTGCTGCTGTATATTTGGAGTTTGCGTGTCTCTCTCTCTGTCATCATCATCACGGTGGCTAGGAGATGTTAACTACCTCGCCTGGTATACAGGAGGTCGTGGGTTCGATCCCGATCCCGACCCCAACGCCTGCTGCTGTTGTATATTTGGAGTTTGCAAGTCTCTCTCCCCGTGGTCGCGTACATTTTTCTCCGGGTTCTCCGTTTTTTTCCCCCTCCGCATTGAGACACATGCATTCAGAGTATTTGGCTGCAATACATTTCCACATGATAAGCCACTTTGTTCAGCTATCATTTGTGATGGCCAGGTCGCTTATGTAAAATAGCTATATAGCTCAGTGCGCCTTACCTGGTAAAAAAAAAAATAGTTTAAATAGGTAGTAATTCTCTCGCGCCGTTTCGGTTGTAAAGCTCGTGGCTTGCAGGGCCCGGCGAACTGAAACCACGCTCCGGCTGCATCGACGGAGCGTGAAAATTCATCCGGCATCTTCGGACTGGAAAATGTTTAACACAGCACTGGTAGTCATGCCTCGACACCCTTCCTGTTGTTTTTAACGGGCGCTGTTTGGAAGGCAGGGGGGGGGGGGGTTGAGGGGGGCTCGTTACATCATGCGAGATGCTGCCACCCTAAGTGGAATCCGCAGCCGGGAGCCCACGGTTGAGAGCTCAACAAGAGCCATTCTGCCTGCATCGGCATCATTTCGACTGGGCTGCGTGTCTCTCTCTCTAACCTCAGCCAATGCTCATCAGCCTAAGGTACGGTTAAAGCACTGATTTTAAATTGTGATTTATATTCGAATGAAGATAACCATACCGATAACCAGAAATTACAACCGACTAACACCCGATTAAAATAAAATACAAACTCTTGCCTTTTACCGATTTCATCATTGTTAATCTTACGCGGGATATAACTGAGGTTTTTTTTTTTGCAATGGGATGCAAGAGCGTGTAACTGATAGTTTGCGTGCTTTTAAAATGTGAATTACATTATTGTTTGTATTATGTTTGTTTACAATTAGCAGGATGGAGGGGGGGGGGTTACATTTTTTCCAGCTCGGAGAGCAGCGGGAACGTTTTCATCTCCACACCGTGTACTTAACCGGTCAAAACGTGCAGCAAATCCTTGTTTAGGGTCTGACCCCCACTTTGATCTGAATTATCGGAGTGGCTGTTCGTTATTTTACTAAATGCCGTAATTATTCCCCCTCTGTTTTTAACGTGATCTGACAGTATAATGAACAGCAGGCAGTGCGACGCCATTGCATAAGCACTGGTTTTAAACTGCTCTGGCAATTACTTAGAGAGGGAGAGGAGGGGGTTTTTTTTGTTGTTGTTGCGCTGGTCTTAAAGGCAAACTCGCTTCGCAGCCTAGGAATGTAATTGGGGTGAAACACACACATCATTAGGTACAAGCAAAGCATTATACGCGATGACACAGAAATGGCTACCATATTGGTGCAGAAGGCATGACACAATGCCAGGCAGGAGCCGCCCTTAGTTGAAAGGGGGCTACAGTTGGCACGCACACACCAACCCGGACGGGCAGCTCTGAATGGCTCTTAAGCCAGATATTTTGAACAGGTACAGAGACCACTTTAATCTCCCCCCCTGCCGACCCCCCACCGCCACTTCTGTCCACCCAGCAGAAAAAAAATGTGGGCACATTACGGAATCATAATATGTATTTATACTGGAGGAATCCGACGAGCTATAAAGCTCTTTTTCACAGATGTCCAGTCGGGTCAGGTCAGAAAGTTACAACAACAAGCAATACAAAAACACGATAAGAGTGTGACGTATCAGAAAGGTAAACAAATAACTAAAAAAACATAAAAGAAACCAAGCTCATATTCTTACCAGGTAAAGCCCACTGAGCTATTAGCTTTTTTACTGAAGCGACATGGGTGCAACTTATCGCCTAATGAAGTGGTTTATCACGTGGAATAAGTTAGCTGATCAGCAGTTCACGTGTGGTGCTTTTAAATGTATGGTCAGTACTCTTAAATAAAGATTGGTCTTGTCAGTGTAGAAGCGCAGAGCTTCCTCTCGTGCCAGTGACAGAGGCAACCCGTTGCGGGGGTATAACTTTACCCATACCTTTGTACAAATATCTCATCGTGCACATAACCATATCTGCTCCCGCGTGAATGCTGTCACTGTGTTTCGCTCTCCAGGGTTCCCAATAAATGCAGTGTAGTCTTTAAAAAGATGCTGGGAGGGAAGCGGGCAGGGAAGAAATAAATATGTTTTGATGTTGGATGTAAATCCCTTTTATTAGGATTTGCAGCTGCCGTAATGGACCCGTGTTGCCAGCAGTTGGAACCACGAAGAGCAGCCCCCGGGTTAGATTATCACATTTTTTGACATTCCAGAGTAAAGCCCTCCCTTTGGAGTTTACAAGGAGCCAAAAGACGAATGAAGACGCACATGCCACCATCAGGACGCGTCCTGTACAGGTGCCACATGTGTTTAACGTTACGCAGCCATCCTCTGCCGAGTTATAATATTTTTTTATATCCTACACTTCCCCCTCCCCCCCCCGCCGCACGCCCGCCACTTTTTGGCGAGGTGGTGCGCAGCGATGAGGTTTTGTCTGTCTGCGTGCACCTCTTGAATTTTAACGAGCAGCCGGAGCCGTGGTGAAGGGTGTTTGCGGGGTGGCTGTGTGGCGGTTTTATCAAAGGTGGCCCGAAGCTTGGTGCTGGCCACTCACGCCCTTGTGCGCCCGTATTGGCACTTCATAGGTGCTCATTAACAGCACTTGCCCCCAAAGAGTCTGTGTAGGCCACACGGGGGATCTTCGTCGTTGGTATCACCGAAGACGTCGCAATGAAAGCTGCGCTGCTGGCAGGGCTTTTTCATCTGGCGGTTGTTTTGCGTGGGGGTCAAGAGGTTCACGACAACGGCGCGACCCAAACACGCGCTTCTCTTTCCGTGTCGCCTGTTGCGGACGGGAACGTGAACATTTTGGTTTGATTTTATGTGTTTTGTCCCGTGTGTAAAATTAAAAAAAAAATACAAATGAAGACAACAAACGCGATGCGTACAATCTTCTCGAGTAGGTTTAATAGTTCTTTAAACAGAACGTGACATTTTTTTAAATGTTTCGATTTTTTTTATTGTCTTTAATTTCGCGACTGAATAAGATGCCATTTTACTCAGTATAATTTCAATAGCATGTTGCGTTTAAACA